GTATATAATAATGTATATGACTCAAGGTAAGGATCAAAGTTCAATTTTTATTTACATGCAAGTATCCAATTGTCCAGCATCATTGCTTAAAAAGGCTGTCATTTCTCCCTGAACTGCTTTGAAATTTTGTCAAAAATTAGTGAGTCTATTTCTGTACTTTCCTTTTTGTTTTATCAATCTATTTTTCTATCTTTATGTGTGCACCACACTATCTTGATAAATCTATCTTTACAGTAAGCCTTCAAATCAGTTGGAGAAAGTCCTTGAACGTGGTTCTATGTATGTAAAGTTGTTTTGCTGTTCGACCTAAGTTGTGTTTCCATATGAAATAGAAAAAAAGAGGGCAATATCTAACCTCTCTATAATGTATTTTTGTAAATCATATTTTGAAATAACTTTAGACAGACAAAAATGTTGAAAAAAGATTACAGACTATTTTCATAAACTCTTACAAAGATTTCCCTACTGCTAACATCTTAAACAACATGGTACATTTAAAAAAATTAAAAAAAAATTGGTAATATACTGTTAATTATCAACGTTATTCAGATTTCACCAGTTTTTCCCCTAATTAAATTTCCATTTTTATTAATTTATTCATTAATATTCAGATAGTAAATTTTATGGTTGATTTTTAAACTTCAGGCACAGTGACAGGTCCTAGCAAATGGAGATAATTAAGACATCCTATTTTTAAGATCATAGTCTATTCAAAATATAGACTAATAGTGCTATAAGCAAATGCCACTTCAACTTCGCACCTCTGAAGACATTAATAATTAAAATTATATTTATCATTAAACAAGGAAAAATGAAGTCCTAATAGAATGTTATACTTAAAAAGACTCTTCTACTTGAAAAATGTAAACTTCAGCTTTTCCTGAGAATTGATTTTCTTATGAATTCATCTGTTTTTCATTTCTAAAGCAACAGGGGGCCATTGCAATGTGGCAAAGAACTATTTCAGTCATGTTATTTCTTCAACAACCAGATGTCATTGTATTGACAATTCCAAAGGTATTCTTTTTCTTTTAAACTTAATGTCGATTTGTTTTCTCATCTGAAGAAGTTATTTTATAAGGAATTTCCAAATAATTTCTTTTGGATAAGGAAAACAAGCAGAGATTAAATTGTTTCTATGTACATAAGAAAATATCTACACATATTTCAAAGACACCAAAAAGAGATTTTGTGTCAGGGGTAGCTTGTTTTGAAATGGCATTCTAGTAGTAATTACAATACAGCAAATTATTTCCAGTTTATTGCTTAAAAAATTAACTATATTTGTTGAAATTGGTAACATTAACTCACTTATGTTTGAATTTGACCAGTTAACTTTTTTACAATATTTGCCAAATATTATAGTGTAAGTATAGTGTAAGTAAGTATAGTGTTAAGTTCAACTTTTATTAACTGTTTGAGAAATTCCATTAATAATTAAGTTTCTTACCAATTTGCAAACATAGCAAAATATTTTCAAAGAAATAACAGTCCGTGTCTGGGATATAAAGCTCTTTTTCAGTTATCTGCATTTATTTGGATGATAGGAAATTATAGAGGGAAATTTCACTTCTCAAATGATATAAGGCAAAATTAGGTTAAGGGAGTGCATGAGTGGGTGGGATGTTTCTAAGGTTCCTCTTCAGTGTTTCACATCATCTATCCTGCTCCTTCCATGCTAACACATACTCTTCCCATTTGAATTAACTAGAAAAGGATGAAATAATTCAAATTATAGAGGCACTAATTAATAATTTCAACACTCTTCAGTAAAGGGAGGTATCGAGGACTTTATATTTTCAAGCTGGTTTTGGTTTTATGCCACATTCTTTAGTGTAAGCTAAGTCTTCTCTCATTGAGCAGATATGGCAATAAAAAAGTATTAAGTGGTTATGTAACCCATTAAGCCTTTATAATTTTATTAAAAATACAATGAAAAGTATATGAATTCTAGATCTTCCCCAAGATAGGATGTAGAGAATACCTCTAGTTATTAATATACCAGATTTTAGATGACAGTCACCAATAAATTTAACACATTTCAATGCCTCAAAAATATGGTTAACAAGTGTAATGGATCACTGAGACAAAATGGCCACTAAAAATGTAAAAGCAACTGTAAATATTGTGTTAGATCGTATTAGCAAGTAAGCAAAATTACCTGTATTACATTATCAGCCATTATCTTACTATAATATAAACTTCTGTTGTTAATGATTACTTTTCTAATTATATTGTGCTGTTTTAAAAACTATTTTGACTAAGTTCAGATGTACAAAACCAAGACTGAGAAAATAGTGACTTAAAAAGAAAAACGATTATGCCTCAGACATGTAAAAGAATTCCACAAGTAGGCAGTGCACAGTTAATATTTTCAAGAATTCTAGATTGTTTGTCTACTATCTGTACTGTCTGTGGTTTTCATTCTCAGGGTTATTTCAAAGAAAATTATGGTTTTTGCAGTTCCAGCCATTGCATTTGCATTCCAGGCAGGAAGCATGAAAGAAGGCAGAAAGAGCATGTGTCTGCTATTTAAAGAGTCTTCTCCAAATCACCCACTAATCTTCTGTTCAGAGCTCATTAGTCAGAAATTTGCCACATGGCCAAAACTAGCTACAAATAGGACTTAAAATATGTATTTAAACCACAGTGGCAAGCTGAAACAATAAAATTAAGGTTTACGTGCCTTAAGAAGAGGAGAAAAGATACTTAGAGGAAGTTAGAAGTTTCTGCACAATTGGTATTTGGAAAATTATTAATTTTTAACATTGATCTTGTATCTAAATACCTTTCACAAAACTCTGATTAATTCAAATGGCTTGTCAATCTCTTTGAGATTACTAGGTAGGCAATAACATATTTCTGCAAATAATAAATGTTTTATCCCTTCTTTGTGATCCTTTTACATTTATAATTTTTCCTTTTTTTAATTGAATTGGTTACCACTGCCACTAAATGTTCAACAGTAACTTTAAATAATCATTTTTATTCTGGGCTTTAATGTTAATGCTTTGAATAGTTTACTATTTAACCTATGGCTTAAATGTAAGAAATGATTTCTCTTAGTTTGTTAATTGTTTTAAAATCCTCGTATTTTTTATTTAATATGTTAATATGCAGATTTACATTAATATGGTTCCTGATGTTAAACTATTCTTATACTGCTGTTTCAAAATATATTTAGTAATGATGTGCTATTTTTATATTTCTGAATTTATTAATGTTTTATTGTATTTTTAAATACAGTTTCACATTGTATTTATGTTTAATGTTTATATTTTTAATTATATACATAGACACTTTTTGCTTTCTTTGTATGTTAGCTTATGACATTGAGTTGGGTAGATTCATTCAAATCCTTTTTCTATGGTCTCAAACAGTGTATATAAAATGGAAATAATCTGCTCTTTGAAAGTTTGCTAAAACTCACCAATGTGTAAATCATATGAGATTTCTTTTTAGAAAGAGGTTATCCATGGCAGAATGTTTGTTAAAGTCTACGTTAGCGGTGTGAATAAAGAATAGGAGGAAACGTATTAGAAATAACAAGCTTAGGCAATGCTTTTGCTTTTGAGATATGTCACTGTAAAAACCATCAGAGAAATGGGGCAGTAGTTACAGGGGGATTTTGGACAATTTCTAATAAATACCTAGGATAATATTACCCAAGGCAGGCTATCTGAGGATTTATCTCTGACTGCCCCATGGTCAAATTCCTGCACATATTGACTTTTTCAATTATCTCCCTTGTTAAATATGAATAGACAGTCAAAGCTCACCTGGTATTTGGGTAAATTCTGTAACATGACAGAGAGAGACTGAAATTAACAAATGGATAAAAAAAAAGTCTTGTCATAAATTTCATAATACATAAAGAAAAAAGTTTTAAAAAATACACTATTTTAGATGTAAGATATTATATTTATGAAATAAGTAAATCATGATTTTTCAGATTGAGTTCCTGTATATTAAACATATGGTGGGGTTGTGGTTGGTGGAGAGGTCAATGGAAGTGCTTAATGCTAAAACACAAATCTCAAAAAAAAGAAAATATTTGTATAATCTTAGAAAAGACAATCTTCTTACAGGATCAGTCTAGTCTAGAACATTCAACATCATGAAAAATAGTACATTCAGAATGATAAAGAGAAGATATTGAAGTGAGGAAAGTAACAAATGACACAAATTTATGTCATGTGAGTGAAAACATGAGGTTCCTTGTTAAAAACAGCCTGATAAGTGATAAACACAGTGATTAAAGCAAGAACCAAAGTTATGTCATTGAGTAGTTAAAGAACACTAAAGATAAAGGTTGTCTGCTGATGTAGTTCAAAGATGGAAACAGAGGGGAAAACTACGTTAAAGACGAAATTAAAAATTTTGGAGTAAGACATCAGATTTTTCAAGGGTAAAGCACTCAAAAGCAAGTAGAATAACACCTTTATAATTTTGGTAGTATTGGATTCTCAATCTGGCATTATAAACGAAGCTACAAATCAATAAAGTGCGATTGGTTAAAGACATTTTAAGCATCTAACGTCTCAAAAATGTTTATAATCCATGCACTAAGTTACAGGATGCTATTGAAGAATGTGACAATTTTAAAGAAGGGAAAGTACAAATATAGAGGAAGACATGGAATCCAAGAAAAAAATAGGATTCAACACAGGAAAAAGACAAAATAAAAAATCAGCATGAAGCTGAAGGAAATTCCCAGAACAGTTATGTAACAGATGTAATGGGAAATCTATCCAGCAGTATTATAGAGCACACCTGCAGAGATGCCTCCAAGGGGGAAAATGCTGTGTAAAGAAGCAAAAGAACTGAACAAAAAGACAAAGTCTAAATTTATAGGTGAAGTATTATCAAAAAGTGAACATACCTGCATAATCACCACCCTAGTTGAGAAATAAGGAATTACCAGTAACCCAAAATTGCCCCATTGCACACCACTCTAGTCAGTATCACAACTATCATAACCTATCATTTTGTTGTTATTGTTGTTCCTCTAACTGGCTAATTTCAGATGACTTGTCTTCGAGTTGACTCATTCTTTCCTCTGCATGACTGATTCTGATGCTGAAGCTCTCTATTGAATTTTTCAGTTCTGTCATATTCTTCAGCTCCAGGATTACTGTTTGATTCTTTTATATGGTTTCTATTTCTTTATTAAACTTCTCATTTTGTTCATGCATTGTTTTCCTGATTTTGTTTAGTTGTATATCTATGTTTTCTTGAGTTTCATTGAGTTTCTTTAAGATGATTATTTAGAATTCTTTGTCAGGCACTTCATAGATCTCCACTTCTTTGGGGTCAGCTATTGGAGCTCTTAGTTTCCTTTGGTGTTGTCATATTTGCCTGATTCATCATGATCCATATAGGCTCACATTGGTGTCTATGTATTTGAAGGAGCAAATACCTCTTCCAGTAATTACAGACTAGTTTCAGCAGGTGAAGACCTTCTGTCGGTTCCCCAGGCTGATGAGATTACCTCCAGACGTAGTCATGCTGGGTTGGAGCTAAGTCAGTGGAGCCAGGTCATAGCAACACTGGAGGCTCTTGCTTAGTTCACAGTAGGGTCCAGAGTTGGTGGGCCTATTTCCAAGGACTTAGAGATGTGTCGATCCTGTTTGGCCCCTGGGTGAACGTTACTGCCTCTATGACCTTGTTCAGTAGAGTGGTGCTGGGACAAGGGTCTGCTTCAGGGTCCACAGTTGGGTCTGCTGACAGCAGGTCTGTTACCAGGTGTTCAGATGTATGTGGCTTCTGCCAGGTCCCTGGGAAGACTCCTGCCAGTTCACTGAGTGGTTCCTGGGAGGGCAGGACTGGCTTCAGGCCATGGTGGAGAGAAGCTGAAACTGAGTCCCAGGCTGCTTCAGGGTCCACAGGTCGGATTGAGGTCTGCAGATCTGGTTCTGGAGGACCTATGGGCATGGCTCCTGCCTAGTTCCCGGGCAGGCAAGACTACTCCTTGACTGTGGCTGGGAGGAGCTGGAGCCGAGTTACAGGGCCATTTCAGGATCTGTAGTGGGACTGAGGTTGGTGAGCTTATCTCTGGAGGCACAGACAGGTGTATCTGCTGATGGGTCTCTGGCCAGGCAGAACTACTCTTCTACTGTGACCGGGAGGGGCTGGAGCCCAGAAACAAGACTGTTTCAGAATAGCTGTCAGACTAAGGTTGGCTGGCCTGCTTTTGTGGGCGCTAATGGGCATGTCTCCTGGTGGGACCCTGGGCTGGCAGGACTGCTCATGGCCTATGGCTAGGAGCAGAACTATATTAATGTAATTAATGTAATGTATATGCATGCAATAATTTGACCCAGTTACAGGGTCATTTCAGAATCTACAGTCAGACTGAATTCTGTGGGCTTGCCTCCAGGGGCTCCCCGACTGCAGCTAAGAGGGGGTAGAGCCAGGTCATGGGCCACTTTAGGATCCACTGGCAGATGGAGGTCTATGGGCCAATTACCTGAAGCATGGGCCATGTGACTCTGCTGGATCCCTTGGCATATTGTGCTGGCGGCAGGACCAAGGATCAAGTGAGGCTGTAGGCAATTCTTCAGGGATATGGAGCTGTTTCTGGATCTGTGGCTATGACCATATTTGGCAAGTCAGCCACCTTGGCGCAGCCTACCTTCTCAAAACAGGCTTCCTTGGATCTGGACTCCTCCAAGGTTTCACAGTCTCCAACCTGGATCCTGAAGCTCCCCCAAAGTACTTTTGTTCCTCGATGGCTGTCAAGTTATTGTTGCTAAAGGAAGACACAAACAAGTAACCTCCTATTTCACCATCTTGCTAACGTTCCCACATTTACTTTTTAAGTCCATAGCTGTGTGGTAAATAAGTCTAAGTCCATTATGTTACTTTCTTGTATATCTGCTTATATTATCTGTTTTAGTACTGGTCTTTGATTTTTCTATAACTAGTTACTTTTTATGGACTACCAGCTATAATGTATGAACAAGTGTAAAGATAACGAGACTGCAGCTGACATTATTTTTCTGTCAAGAAGATTTACTTTTCTTCTAGAAAGCAATTATGATAAGAAGCCATTTCTTAATATAACTAAGGCTTAGTGATTTAAAACCAAGCTTTGGCTTTATGTTGGTTGATCTGTTTTATTCTATTTTGATGTTATCCACTTCTAGGATAGACAACTTTGAGGATCTCTTTAAAAGCTTTAGATATTTAATAGGGTCCCTCCTCCTCAAAAGGCTTAAACTTGAATATTTATCCAAAGTTGTAGTTGAGGAAAGCTCTGGTCATCTTTTTATCCTTTTATCTGCCGCTCTCTCCTCTTCTTTCTAATTACCAAATCTGTAAATGAGAGAAGAGATCTTATAGGTCACACTTGATTCTCCAGGCTCCTCCTCATGTCAGTAAGTTAAACTCACAAATATTTCTGTTACACTAGTTCCGTGATGCTTTCAAATATATTAATTTTTTTAATTGTTCCCTGCTGAGTGTTAATTTTAAAGAAGCTATTTCAGCATTTTTGGAAGCAGAATCCCTTACAGCAGTGTTATGTGTCTTTTTAAGATAACCTAACCTTCACACTTTATCTCAATCTTCTAGAATGTACCATTTTATTTTTATATTTTAATGAATATAAATATAAATTAAACTCAATTGTTCAGCATAGATTCAACAAATGTTCAGATTTCTTAACACTTTAGATAATAATTTTAATAGATTTTAAAATTTCTTTGAAGCAATGCAAATTCATATCTATAGTATAAATTTCTATTTTATGTAATCATTTTATATTGTGACTTCAGACAGTTAAATGAAATACTATTGCACCATATAAGGTAGAAATCCCTAGCTCCTCTTACTTTTCACCTCACCACCATGGATCCTCTCTCTTCTGCTTGAGAAAAGCTAACGGGAGGCAATCAAGAGAGATTTTTGAGATTATATAAGAGTTTATTTCACAACGGCATCACAGAACCACCATCACAGAAATATTTGTGAATCTAAATTACTGAAGCGAGAGGGAGCTTAGAGAATGGACTGCTATATATAACATCTCTTCTCCTATTCAAAAATGTGGTGATTAGAAAGAAGTTGGAGAGAGTGAGGCCAGAAAATGTGGAGTTTGTCATTAATCTTGGCTGTAAGACATTTTGGAGGAAGTAAATGCAATATACTTTTTTCTACATTCTTTCGTTTCTTCATTTTTAAGCAAAATTATCAGTGACAGGGTATAGGGAATGCAGGTTAATGCATATTTAATAATATTAACAAGGATAAATGAAAGCAGGAACCAGAGGAAAGGTAGCAGGCACCAAAATGTTGTGGGCTAATTTCAACAACTCTTGAGAGCAGTTGTGTGGGGGTGGCCCCAAATATTTTGTAGCTGAAAAATCACCAATATCTAAATAAGTAGTGAATAATTACTGATTGATTGTGGAAATATTTCCTTTAAGAAAATAAATATTGCTATGTAAAAAAGATCACTACATTATCAACAGCAAAATGTAATAAAATTGCATCAATTAGTGTAAAGATTATATAGGTAACATTGGTCAAATTTATATTAACTATTGTTAAAGTCAGTATAGCACATATATAGATGTATTACCACTTCAGTGCTGAGCCCAAATGGTGATAAATGTGCACATCATAGAACGTTAAAACTGAAGGGATATGTAGAAGTGATTTTTTAATCACACTGACTTACAAGCTTACTAACTTGAAATTCCATTTTATTTCAAATTGTAGGGATGTAGATTAGGTGATTAATTTAAAATTCTATTTTTAAATGAAATTTGAATATAAGGAGTTTCTCATGACTGGCTCCGTGGAGAGATTTGGAGAGCAAACTTACCTGTCCACAAGAAAATAGTGCTATATTAATTAATTAGATGCTATATAAGTACACATAACATTTTAAAAATACATTTAGGTCATAATATATAATTTATATCAGTCAGTGTATAATTCAATATAGAAAAATTAATTCTTATGTTAGAATTGAGGAACATTTCTTGCAAAGCCTAAATATAAATGTCAAAGAATCTGTTTTCAAATACTGACAGTTAGGTTACTTTGACCTAGAAAACTAAGGATGTCTATGAGTAAAATCTACATTGATCAAGAGGAATAATGCTCTGTTATTTGTCAAAATGTTTTAATAAATTATGAAGCCTTATGTTAAACACAGCCTTAAGTTAGAGAATTTGGCCAAAACAACTAAGAATAGTTGTCATGATACAATCGTTGTCCACATGTTCTTTAGATATTTGCAGACTACATGAGAAAAAATGTCTTTACCAAAGTTTAGTTTATAAAACTGAATTTCTTTCCACTAATCTGGAGATAATTTTTTATTACAAAAGTCAAAAATTTTGTCAAATTAGTAATTTGATCATAAAAAAGAAAGTAATTTTTAATATATTTGAATTGTTATCTTCTCCTTTGAGACATTACTCATTTTTCATTTATTTCTTTTTCATTGTACAGAATATGCTTTCTTCTATTTGCTTCTAATGTGTAATGATATTTACTTTTCATATTTTTTAAAGACTATTATTTTTTACAGCAGTTTTAGGTTTACAACAAAACTGAGAGGAAAGTGCAGAGATTTCCCATATGCCCCCTTCCCCCCACACATGCCTGCCCCATTATCAACATCACTCACCAGAATGGTACATTTTTTCCCGAGAACAAACCTACATTACATATAATCACTCAAAGTCCACAGTTTACATTACAGTTCACTCTTGGTGTTGTACATTCTATGGGTTTGGACAAACGTATAATGACACGTATCCATTATTATGGTATACATAGTATTTTCACTGCCTTAAAATCCTTTGTGCTCTGCATATTCATCTTCTCCCATCCTCAATCCTGGCAACCACTGAAATTTTTATCGTCTCCATAGTTTTGCTTTCTCCAGAATGTAATATAATTGGGATCATGCAGTATGTAGCCTTTTAAGGATTCTGCACTCAAATTCCAAAGTGTGGGGAATTTTTCCCACACCACCAAGCAATTATCCCATGCCAGCTGGGATAATTCTGACACTGTATACCCAGAGATATCATCAGATTTTACACGTT